AAATAAAAAGRATTGGGGATGTGGCTCAGTGGGAAAGGTCTTGTGTCTCATTTGGGTTCAATCCCCAATAACACCCCCCCACACACACACACAAATATAAATAAAAGGCCTATAGGAGCTGGGCCCTGTGGCTCTTGCACCTGTTGTCACAGCTGTTGGGGCTAGGACTGAGGCAGGAGGATTGCTTTAGCTCAAGAGTTCAGACCAGCCTGAGCAACATTTCAAGACACTGTAAGTTTGGGCTGGATGTGTAGATCAGTGGTAGAGTGTGTGTTCTTAGCATGCTTGAGGCCCTGGACTTGATCCTCACCATGGATAATAATAATAAGCCTTCCTTAATAAAAACAGTTTAAAATCCCACAGTCTCACAATACTGTTAAGCCTCACCTTATACAGCAGATTTGGAAAGATGGTCAGATCAGACCTGTCCTGAATAAAACATTTTTCTTTCTTTCTTTCTTTCTTCTTTTTTTTTTTTTTAGAGAGAGATAGAGGTAGAGAGAGAGAGAGAGAATTTTTAATATTTATTACTTAGTTATCAGCTGGTACAACATCTTTGTTTGTATATGGTGCTGAGGATCGAACCCGGGCCACACGCATGCCAGGTGAGCGCGCCACAGCTTGAGCCACATCCCCAGCCCAATAAAACATTTTTCTTTGCTTGCATCCAGCCACACAGCAGAGTCCCTACTCTATACTCCAAACCCTTTCTTGACTTCCAGATACTGATGCAAGGAAAGTACCATTCTGGAGAGCCCGAGGACATGGAATTTAGGCTGTCCAGCATGGTAATGGATTAGTACTGATTTATCCACAGCAGCCAATGGCATATTACTAGGATTGAGTCAAGAAACATTTTGCTAGAGATCAAGAGGCTAACTCACATAAGTCAAGCCTGTAAACTAATTTGTTGGTCTTGTTCTCTACTACTGAGCTGTGTGAGGATTTAATAAGTTGATAGCAACTCAAAATCTTGGCAATTAGGAGGTAATATAGTACAGTGACTAAATGGCTCAGTTCTAGAGTCAGAACATCTTGGATTTGAATCTTCAGCTCTGACACAAAGCTGTTGTTTGATCCAGGCGCATGCCTGTAATCCCAGCAGCTCAGGAGGCTGAGGCAGGAGAACCGAGAGTTCAAAGACAGCCTCAGCAAAATTGAGGCACTAAGCAACTCAGTGAGACCCTGTCTCTAAATAAAAATACAAAACAGGGTTGGGGATGTGGCTCAGTGGTCAAGTGCCCCAAGTTTGACTTCTGACAAGTTATTTGACTTTCAGACTGTTCACAGAGAGGGATCATAGAGCTTAAAGAACCATTATGACAATCATAAAATAAAATCATGTAAAGTGCTTATTAGCACAATGCCTAGAACATAATGAGCACTCCAGATTTTACCTACAAGTATTACTGATACCATATTATTAATTCTGCCTTGCCTCTTGTTTGCTATGTGACTGGGTAAACYACCATGACCTTTGAGAATCATAACTTCTTCACTTATATCTTWTCTCATAAGGTTGGTTTAAACTAGTGCATCTAGCACCCTGTGAGTCATTACTTTTATTCCAGGGTTTAAGGAGCAGGGTCCAAGTCATATCTCCCAAAAGTCACACTATTAACTTGACCTCTCTGGTTTATCTTATCATTTGCCCAGTCCCTTTTGAGCATCTGGATTGTAAGAGAGGAATCCAAGCAAGTTCCTCCAAAATCCAATTTCTGTTACTGAGGCTGAGGCCTTTTGCCTGTTCCACATACTCCTTAAGCTTTCTATGTGGCTGGGCCTTCATTCACTTGAGGCCTATTCTGAACCAAGCAGGGAAAGCGAAAGTTAGGTCAGTACCCACTAATCTCATCTGCCCCTGTTATCCCATTGCTGTGCCCTTTGTCCTGGCTGGCATGAATAAAAATATTTGTTTACATGAAGACTGTTCTTTCTGTAAAGAAAGGTCTAATAGTAGGTGCCCTGTAGAAAGAAGCCCTTCAACAGTGAGCAGAGACATTAGGAAAAACAAGAATATGCAGATGAGGTACTAAAATCCAGAGGGGCCTGTGACCAGAGGGCACCTCAGGAAGAAGACAGCAAGGAAAAGACTGCCAATGGTGCTACATTTTTTCAGCCCCTACTCACAACCCCAGCTCTTCCTGCAGGGGATCAGCTTTATATTACCTGCTGTCTCCCAAGTGGGTTGGGAGCAGGGATAGGCTGAGCGAGGCAGTCAGCACTCAGCTGCAGCAGCTCTCAGTTTAGGGTCAATTTGGGAGATGATACTCCAGGACTGGGGTTCTRTGGAATTCTGGCTGACTGTTCATGGCCATTCGAGACTAAGATGTGGTAGATATGTCACTTGACAAAGCAGGGTCCTCTAGGCTGATCTCTGGGGAGAAGGGTTACTCACCTCCTGGTGCTAGGTGCCTCACAAGCTTGGGGCAAAATCAAGGAAGATTATGGGGCAAAAATCAAGGAAGATTTTGCTATGTGATTACAGAGGCCTCGCCTGGTGGCTGGACCCCAGTTTCTGGCCTTCCTGGAGCAACACTGTCCAATCACTAAGGAAATTTTCTACCCCACACTGTGGTGTTTTGAGGGACGGCTACAAACCATCTTTCGAGTCCTCCTACAGTCTCAGCCCCTAGTCCCTTACCAGAGGTAAGAAGGGACAGAATGGGGTGGACATGAAGCTGCAAGTCCCTAGGGGAAACCTATCTACCTCTTTTAAAGTGAAGGTAATCTTTGCTCCATTTACCTCGGTGTGTTGAGGGCACAGTGAGATTGAGTAAATGGAAGGGCTCTCTGATTGCACACCACAAGGTAATATTCAATCTCATGCCCCATTCTGGTCAGTCTTATTTTTTACATAAGCATACCTTCAAATGATGCTAGTGGGAAACTTTTGGACGTGTAGGTGAGGCAGGGGATGAACTTTTGAAGTACATCAAATCCCTAGTAGTATCTTTGTGTGCCCATCTCTTCCAAACCACAGTGAAGTCCTCCAAACTCCAGATGGAGGCCAGTTCATGCTAGACTGGGCAGAGCAGCCCACCAGCAGTCACTACTCTGATCCTGCCACCCAGCCCATTGTGTTGCTGCTTCCTGGCATCAGTGGCAGTAGCCAAGAGACATACATTTTACACCTGGCAAGCCAAGCTTTAAGGGACGGCTACAGGTAAGGATGGGCACAGTTCAGGAGTTGGGGAGCCTGAGAAATTATAATAGGGAGAAGTCAGTCCAATCCTGATGGAGAGCTTTAGGAAGGGAGTCTTAACAGGGGTCTCTTTGAAGACTATCAAAAGGGGAGGGGATCAAAAGGGGAAGGTCTGGTTGATGTACCTATGTATGCCCCCAGAGCTGTCGTATTTAATAACCGGGGCTGCCGTGGGGAAGAACTGCTGGTGAGTACCCTCCTTCCCCATGATGGCTCTGTATCTGCTCCCTTTTGAGACACTTGGCCCTGGGGCCCTACCCTCCTGCCTACCTACCCTTCCTCCCTTTCCCCACCACCTCCTAAGCCCTTCCATTTTGCTACCTTCTAGTCTCCTCCCTCCCTGTCCAATAATCCCATTTGCCSTTAGACCCACAGGGCATATTGTGCCAGCAATACTGAAGATCTAGAGACAGTTGTGAACCTCATAAAGCGCCGCTACCCCCAAGCTCCATTGCTGGCTGTGGGCATCTCTTTTGGAGGGTAATGGTTGCCTGGGCTTAAGTCAAAGGCCCAGTCTTCCCTTCTTTCCACCTCCATGTCCTTTCTTTCTCCATCCCAACTCACTCGTGCAAACCTTCTTTCATGGCCCCTTGTCCAATCCTGCAGGATACTGGTGCTGAACTACCTGGCACGAACTGGGAAGGCTGCGGGATTAGTGGCAGGACTGACTCTATCTGCATGCTGGGATTCCTTTGAGACCTCTCACTCCTTGGAGACCCCCCTCAACTCACTGCTCTTCAATGGGCCCCTCACTGCTGGGCTCTGCCAGTTTGTGAACAGGTAGGGAGGGTAGGAGGGAGCAGAAGAGAGGGCAGGACAGCAGATGTGCCAGGCTTTCCCAATACTTGGTCAGTTCTTACCTAGGCTTTCTCATGTGTGAGATAGTACAATAGGCTAAAGGCTTTGGGCCATAAGTAGGAGTCAAGATAAACCCTGATTATACTCTTTTCCAGAAATAGAAGGACAATTGAAAACGTGGTGGATGTAGACTTTGTGCTACAGGTATAATCTTTCAACCATCCTCAGCCCCAATATTACTCTACCACTGTCTTCCTCTTCTGTTATCTTAGCCCCTCCTGCCCCTACCACATAGGCCCGCACAATCCGCCAGCTTGATGAGCGTTACACATCTATAGCCTTTGGGTATAAAGACTGTGATGACTATTACCAAGCATCAAGCCCAAGAACCAAGGTCAATGCCATCCAGGTCCCTGTGCTCTGCCTCAATGCAGCAGATGACCCCTTCTCCCCAGTCCATGGTGAGTAGCTTGAATCATGAAACCTTAACCTCAGAGAAAGTAGACCATGAGGTACAGGTGGAAAAACTGGGTTCTCATTAAATACCAGGTCCCTAACCTCTTTTCTGACTCCCTCCCAGCCTTACCCCTACAGGCTGCCCAGCGCTCTCCCCAGGTTGCACTGCTCATCACAGCTCGGGGTGGCCACATCGGTTTCATGGAAGGGCTGCTGCCTTGGCAGCACTGCTACATGAACCGCCTCTTGCATCAGTACGCCAGCGCCATCTTCCAGCATCCAGCAGAGCTGACTGACCTAAAGGCACTCCCACCTTCTGGGGACATAAAGAGCTGACAAGAGTACATTTGGGATCTCAGTTCAATCTTCCCTTGTTTATTAAATATCAACTCTTCTTGCCTACTGGGCTGAGGTTCATTTTTCCCTTTCTTCAAGGCCGGGGTAGACCATCCAGGAACTTACTGCTTGTTTAGCCTGGTTGGCTTGGCACTACCCACCTGAACTCAGAGGTTGCTACCTGAGTCTTCTTTTTGCCCTTTCCTGCCTTAATAGTAGGTGCCAGGCCAGTCCTTGTCTCAACAAAGACAAGGATTATCATTTGAAGGCTGTGAGGGGAGGAGAAACAGATTGTTTCTTTAAGAAGGACGGCAGTACCTCCAGGGTCTTCAGCATCTTCACATGTTCCTGGAGGAGGACAAGCTCAACACTGGAGCCTCTGGTAGACAGAGGGAAGGAGGCAGGTAGTATTTATGGTCCAGGCTTTAGACATTAGTGTCTTGGGTGGACCCACAGGTGATGAATCCAGGGCTCCCAGGACCCAGAATCACACAGGGCCACAACCAAGCTTTAACAGAGAAGGGCAAGCAGTGCCCATCAGTCTCATCAGAGGCAGCTTCAACTATGGATCCAAATGGAGTAATAAGAGTCCAGGCCTCTATTCTGCTCTTGAAGGTGGCAGTGTCCAGGCCCCTGATTCCCAGGGGCTAAAGAGGCTAAAGGAAACCTGGAAAGGCACTCTGGAGCAGCAGGATGGTCACAACAATAAGCCCGACACATAACAGGAGCAGCAGCCACACAGGAACACTCCCTGTGGGTAGAGGTGAGAGAAATGAGCAAAGGGCCTTCAGAGACTGAAGACCAAAACCTTCAACCTGTTAAGGAGGAGGCAGATGGATGGCTATAAACAAAGCAAACAAGCAGCTATTCTCCATGGGTGAGTTTCTGCTACAGCTAAAGGTGGGATAGGAACCCAAACCCCCAATGACTCACGCCTTGAGGGCAACAGGTGCAACTGGCAACGACTGTCCACAGCCACAGAGAACAGGGCAGTTTCATGGGACCCGAGAAGTTCTGGACCACGACCCTTCTCAGGTAGGAAGGCCACATCTGTAACCACAATGCCATGGGCCTCCCTCATGTAATAGAGGCGCTGAAGACAGGAAGAAAAATAGTGAGGGAAAGCCCAGTTAGAAGCGTTCCCTCTGGGAGACATTCTGCCCACCGCCACCAGGCTTCCCCTATGGATGGACCAGATCCCTTCTGGCACTCAGGGTAGAGTAGCCAACAGTCTTCCCACAGGGCTATGCCAATGTCCACCCATTACCTGAAGAGAGAAAGCTATGTAGATGGCTACAGAGCCAGTGACCGTACCCAGGCCTAGGAAGGTGCCSGATTCACTGTAACAAACAACAAAAGGCTCATTATCTTCAGGAACTCAGGCAGGACTGTTCCCAAACTCCCCCAGGACCCCTCTGCCCAGCCAAGCCACCACTGTCTCATACCTGACACTGAGGCAGGAGATGACTTCATTGCCACAGGGTTTGGTACGAAGAGGCAAGAAAGAAGAACCATCCCAGGCTGTGAGGTAGCAAGGTGGGGGCTGGCGCAGCCGCTTGTGGGGGATCTGCACTGTGAACAGCCGCAGCCCAGAAGGCTGGTCTGGAACCTGCCCAAACCTAGGAGCCAGGCAAGGGACTATTCAGCTCCTGGGTCTTCCTCTTCAGAGGTTTGTGCACTCCTGTCCCTAATCATGCTGGATGTTAACACCTGGCAAGGCCACAGTTGTTCCTCCTCTCCCCCACCATAGCTAGGCTATGCCTCTTTTAGCCACCGTCAGGGTCTTCATACCTGCAAGCCTGGTAGCGGTAAGGCGTGTTAGAAAAGGTGGGTCCATTTTCTTGCCAGTGCAGCTGCATCAGTAGCTGATCTTTCTGCCACACAGAGGCCTTAAGGTCCCAGCCTACAGTTACCAACTAGTTAGGAATAAAGATTCCAGAGATGGCTAGTTAGGATCTACTTCCTGTGCAAACAGTATAAGCACTTCCTTACTCCTTTCTACATCCCCTTCCCACACTCCACCTCACCTTGCCATCAGGCCCCAAAGCCAGGTCTTCAATATCCCCTTCATGGGCTTTGAACTCCAGAACTTTCTCCAGGCTGGGTACCTACAGCCAAGCCACCAACCTGATTAGGCCAGATAGCAAGAGCACTATGATCCYCACCCCTCTTCTTCAATGGCCACTCACAAGTTTCCCAGAACTCATTCAGATTTTTACAATTTTGGTCTTGTTGCAACTACCATTCATCTTCCCTAAACCCCCAAAGTCACACCTTCCAGATACGAACGAAGCCATCTGTTCCTCCAGTGGCAAGCAGGGTGTTATCATGGTTGAAACACACAACTTTCTGCAGTGGATCAGAGCCGAAGTTTGTCTGCACTGCCTGCAAATTCTCAACCTTGAGCTCTCCCCCCTCAGGATGGGTTTCAGCTCCTGATTTCTTCTCTGCTGGGGTTGCCCCCTTCCTTTGTCGAAGCCCTTGCTCCTTGGAACCTGCAACACAAACARCTTGCCAGGATCCAGCCCTCTGTATTAAATAGAATTGGTCGCTCTCTATATGGCAAGGATTTCTACAGCTTCTAGCTGCTAACATGACCTTGCAGTTTCACTTCTTTAAAGACAAAGATGAAAATGATCTTATTCATTTAACCCTTTTCCCAAAGCTCCTCACCTGCCTTCTCTGCCTTGTTGTCTTTCTGCTTATGGACCCGGAAACGCAGGAGCTGACATTGGGCATCCTGCCCTGCAGCAAGGATATCACCCGCCAGTGCCAAGTTCATGGTAGCCCGTGTCTCCGTGTCATGGGAGTGCAGCAGGGAAGCGCTTAGGCGCCCATTAATTTGTTCTAGCTGCAGAAAGTGCTATGAGAGAGGGAACAAGGATGGGCAAAGTTCAGGGGTGTGCGGAGCACATGCAAGGCAAACTTCTCTTAGTTCTTACCCTTTTTGATCACTGCACTTTCTAGTTCACAGGGTTTTTTCGCGCTGTTTATCTTTTTTTGGGGGCTTTCCAAATTTGTATAGCAAGCAGGCTGGGATAATTATCTCCAGTTTACAGATAAACAGGGTGGAACTCCAAAAAGTGAAGGAACCGGGGCTGGGGATATAGCTCAGTTGGTAGGGTGCTTGCCTCACAGGCACAAGACCTTGGGYTCACACACACACACAAACACAGAGGGAACCTAGGTAGCCTAAGGGCCAACAGCAGCGCTGGAGCCTGCTACAGGGCAGATCAACAAGAAAAAGCCCGGATAAGACCCCTGGAGCTGTTCGCAAGGTGTAGCTTAGGCATTCCTGCCTACCCGGCGGGTGTGCAGCTTTTACTCCTCCTTCCGAGTCTCTCAACCGCCTGCTGAGTAAAATTCTCGGTTGAAATTCGCACGGGGGTTCCCGGTATGCCGGGTTTTCCCACCGTAAATGGGCAGGACCCGAAGCTGGGGTGCGGGCCACCCCTGCGGCCCCGGAATTGTCCCCAGCCCGCGGTGTGACCCGGTCCTACTGGCCTCGAGCTCTCACCACTCCATTCTTTATGCCGGTCTTGGCAGCGCCTCCTCCGCCCGCAGCGATGAGCAGGCCCGCGCTGGGGTCGACCTGAAGCGCGTACAACGGGAACGGGGCCCGGTAAAGCTCTGGAGGCCGGCGACGGCCCATCCCGCCCGCCGCGCGTTCACTGTCAGCCCCGAGGCACCGAGGACATGCCGCGTCCGCACTTCGGCTACTTCCCCGGCCGCTGCTGAACTTAGATCGGTGGCTGGCGGAAGGACTCCCGATCCCTTTCACACCCGCCGGGTTGCGACAACTCTAACCACCCACCAGCAGCTATCTTSACTCGGGTCTGACTCTAGCTCGAAGGCGCGCACTGCGCAGGCGCCCCTACCAGTGGCTTTCTCTGCGCAGGCGCACGACGTCGGTACGCGTCAGCACTAGCGGGCCGCTGGGCTACAGCAGCGGAATTCCGACTCCGATCGGGTTCACCGCTTGCGGTGACCACAGACCCGCCATCTTTGTTCTGGGCGCGGGAAGCAGCGGAGGCGGGCCTGGAAGAGGCTACCGAGGGTCAAGAAGCCTTTAATAAATAAATCCTCGAATTACGACTCTTCACCTGAGGAGTGATCCACCGACTCATACATGGAGCCTTTATCTATTACACCTGGGAGGACGTGATTAGTCCAAGGACACAGGCTGGAGACCGCCTGCGGCTCTTGCTTCTTATTTGAGGCGAGATGGACTTGAAACGAACCTGGCTTCAAATCCCAGATTCACTTACCTCCTAATGTGTGGAAACTGTTCTCCATCCTTACCTTGTCCTATGGTTGGCAGAGTCTTCGATTCCCTTTCTCTGGGCTTCTCATTTGCACTTCTGCAGTGAAGGTGTACCCTAACAGACTTGGGGACAGCTTGGTTCCCTGGAAGGTGTCTTCCTTGCCTGACACCCCACCCTTCTGAGAGTGCCTTCGTTTTTTCATCTATGTCAGGATCCCTGTGCTCCCCTGCGAATGAGCTTTAGGAATGCCCTTCCCGGCCAAGAGAAATGGGCAGTTGCATCCTCATCTCAGAGCCCCAAGTGGAATGGGCTTGGTGACTTCATCTGTGGGGATACCAGTGTCTGGTTCCACAGAGTTGAATTAAAAGTGTGAAGGGCCTGACCTAGCCCTTGTGCATCTCAGGACCTAGGGACTTTTGGGTCCCTTCCCCACCTGGGATAGGACACCCGTTGTCCTTGGCCCTTCTATTTCTTTTGACATCCCTGCTTCCTACCCTGGCCTTGTAGGGAACTGTCACCCCTGTAGCTGCAGCCACCCATTCTTTGAGCTCAGGACACAAATATAAGTTTCTCAGGGTCAGGCTTTATTGGATACACTGAAGGCTGAATGGGGCTTTAGGTGCCTTGGGTCCTCTTCAGCCAGGAGACAGCAAACTCCATAAGGGGTTTCCAGGGTTCAGGGCAGGAGAACAGACCTGACCTCCAGTCAACCAGCCCTTCAGGGTGTCTCGGGGGCTCCCCGAGATCTGGGACCTGGTGGGTAGGGTGGGGGTTTGAGRGAGTGCTCCAGGGAGCCTCCGCAGTTCTGGAACTAGGATTGTGACTTTTGGAGAACAGGCTCTGGAGAGGAAGGCCTCTTTGGGGCAGGAGGCAGCTTGGGCTTCAGGGAAGCAGTGGCCTGTTTTGGTGCCTGAGGTGGAGGCTCCGAACACGKGGTGGATCTTGGAGATGGGAGGCCTGCAGACCTGTGGCTCCCGGCCTGCAAGGGTGTGCCTGGGACTGAATTTGCCTGATTCTGAGCCGCTGGGGCTCTGAGCCGCTGAGCTGCTGGGGTCTGGGCTGCTGGTGCTTGATGCGGAGGAGCCTGAGTGGCCTTGCCCTGAAGCCCTACTTCTTCCCGCCTTTTTTCTGGCAACAGATGCAAGGCCCTGGCCTGGCCCTGAGGCAGGCGGAGGCCAAAGCCGATGCCTATGCGGAGTGGCCCAGATTCCTGGCCCTGTGCRCAGGGCAGTAGCTGGGGGAATGCAAGCAGCCGGGGTCCAGTCCTGTACTTGGTTTTGGGGCAAGAGGGACCGCGGAGTCGCAGGCACACCAGGCATACGGGATACTCCACAACTGGGGCCTGGCCTGTTTTGCCTAGCCACAGGCGCTGCAGAAGCAGAAGCCGCAGGTCGTGGGCGATGCGGCGGTGCCCCAGGTGGACCACCAGGGCCTGGGCCAGGGCCCCTGGGTCCCTGAACTCTGCAGGGTCCTTCTCGCTTGCCACGCATCCTCCCACCACCCCAGGGGACTTGGTTTCCCTGTACTGAGGCCAGTGCCATGTCTGCTTGTTAGAGTGGACCCCTGGAGAAGGTAGGCTGGGGGAAGTGAGCGTGGAGCTAGGTAGGTCTTGCTGGCAGGAAGGAGTCTGATAACCGGAGCGGGGAGAGTTGTGTGGCTGGGAAGGAGAGGAGGAGCGGGTCAGAGGAGGAGATGGGTAGAGCTGTTGGTTGGAGGGGGAGGAGGACTGTGGAAAGGCAATAGTGCCGTAGCTCTGGTGAAAGAAAGTGGGGGAACTTGGGAGGGGAGAGGAGTAGGAGTGTGGAGCAAAGTCAGAATTTGACTCAGAAGAGTAGGAATGGAGGCCAGGACTAGGGGACAATGGAGAAGGGGAGAAAGGGAGATAGGACTGTGTGGAAGAGGAGAAAGGTGGGTAGGGAGAGAGAGGCTGTAGGGTTAGGGTAGAGGAGTCCACAAGTTGAGAAAGGCCCTGCGGGGGGCGCCCAGGGGGCACTGCGTTCTGTAGCAGCACCTGGTCCTTATTTTGAGGCAACATTGCCTTGAATCCAACTGGGACTGGGGCCACAAGGCCAAGGACAGAGACCTAGCAGAATCAGGACAAGGGTCTCTGAGGCTAGTTGTGGCTGAGAATTAAGGAAGCCTTCTGTGTGCAGTGTGGCTCCGGCCTGATRTTGCTGTGGGCATTGGCAGCAGGAGGAGACACTGAGCCCTCTGGCACCGGGCTCTCGAGGTGCTCAGCGGGGAGCCTAGGTTTAAGCTTGGCTTCTCACTTCTTTGCAGTCAGCCATTGACGAGAGATGTATGGGAATGAGAAATCAGAGCTGCCTTTTGGGAACTGAGGGGCAGCGGTGACTCTCTGGATGGAGCAGAGGAAGACACAGCTCATAGGATCTGCAGAGAAGGAGACAGAGCCCATGATATGGGGTATTGGTCCATTTCTGGCTCTGCATCTGGTGAAAGAAAGTTGCGGGGCCAAGCTTCAGGCTGGACTTACCAAGTCCCTAAGTCTTTGTCACCTTTAGAGTTGGAAGAACTGACAAAATACTCCCAGGGAGGTAAGAAATTGGGAGGAAAAGATGAGGGAGGAGAGAGAGAGAGGGGTGGAGTTGGAGAAGGAGATTTTGGGGATGGGTACTGAGTGGAGGGTATTCTGGTTCTCTTGAGTTCTTACCAATGAGGATTCCTCTGGGCTGTTTCACAAGACACTTCAGCAAAGAGGGGACCTGGGAGAGAGAGAAGAGTTATCAAATGGTGAAAGGGCAATACACCTTCCTCTGCCTCCAGCATCTGTCACCTTAAACTCACCCAGAATTCTGTCTGAATGTTGCCCTCAGTCCTCCTTCAGCCAGGCAGAGGTCTTCTGGTTACAGGGTTTTGTCCTCCTAATCCTGACTCAGAGATTCTGTAAGCATCCTGGTTTCCTGACAACCTGGTTCTCCTGACCGCTGGTCGCCCCTAATGCTGATGTCCTTTAGCTCAGCCTGGCCCTGGCTGAGATGGCTTACCACGCCCAGCAGCAGCAGCACTGGGGCCAGCTGGTAAAAGCCTCTGGGAGACTGGGACTTTGTCTAAGGGGCGGCGTTGCCGCCCCCAATGGGAGCTAGAGGCCCCATTCCCTAGGGATAGTTCTGCCTGGTATCAAATGCTTTTGTCACAAAGGTCAGATGCTGACGTCATAGAATCCTCTCCTCAAAACTCTGGGCTCTTCTCTCTCAGGGATCATGCAAAGGCTGACCCCTGACAAAAAGTGTTAAGCAGGCAAAATTTTTTGGTGTACTCAGTTTCCCCTTTACACTCCACCCCCGAAACCCCTCCCTGCCCTTTCGCCACTTCCTCGATTAATTGTTCTCCCCACCTAGAAACTATCTGATTAATTGTTCTCCCCACCTAGAGACTATCTGGGAGGAGCCCTCCCTTCTACTTTCTATTTTCCTTTGCTTTCTGAGGAGTGGCTCATACTCCATATCTTTCCCCCTCTAGGATCTACTTATCCTATGTTTTAAAAACCATTTCAGGGCTGGGGTTGTGGCTCAGTGATAGAGAATTTGCTTCTCACAYGTGAGGCACTGGGTTCAATCTTCAGCACTGCATRAAGACAAACATTTGAAGATATTGTGTACACATGTAACTTTCTCATTTGAAGATATTGTATACACATATAACTAAAAAATCATTTAAAAATATTTAATTTACACCTTTATTTAGATGTCATTCACATAGTATCCATCCACTTAACACATGCAATTCAGTGTATTCTAGCATAGTCTCAGGATTTTACAACCATTGTCACAATCTAATTTTAGAACATCTTTATTCCCCACCCCCAAAGAAATCCCATATCCATTAATAGTCACTATTTCTTACTGTCCTCAGCTCCTGGAAGCCCCAAATCTACTTTCTTTTCCTATGGATTTGCATATTCAAGACATTTTATATAAGCAAACTTTTCTCTCTGGCTTCTTTCATTTAGCATGTTTGAAAGGTTTGTTTATGTTGTATTATGTGTAATTACTTTATTTCTTTTATTGTCAAATAATATTTCTTTGAATGGATAGATCATACATTGTTTGTATACATTTGTTGTTTCTACTCTAGCAATCACAAATAATACTGCTATAAATATTCTTGTAAAAATTTTGTGTGGACAGGTATTTTTGTTTTTTTGAGTCTATAACTAGAAACAAAATGACTGAGTCAGATGGTGAAGCTGTATTTAACATTATGAGGAAAGGTACCTAACCATCTTCCAAAATGACTGTGATATTTTTTGATCCCACCAGCAAAGTATGMATGATCTAATATCAACATACATTATTGCCTGTCATTTTGATTTTAGCAATCCAAGTGGGTGTGAAGTGGTATCATATTATGGTTTTGATTTGCATTTTCCTAATGACTARTCTTATCTTTTCATGTGCTTCTGGGCTATTTATATTCAAATATTTTGCTTATTTTTAGGTTTTTTTTTGTCCTATTGTTGAATTATAAGGTTCTTCTATAKTCTGTATACAGGTCCCTTATCGGATATACAATTTACAATTATTTTTTCTAATTCTGTGAGTCCTTTTTACTTTCTTAATGGGTTACCTTTTTACTTTCTCATTTGATGAATATTTTTTAAAAATTTTGGTTTATTATTTTTATATTTTGTGGTACCTGAAATTAAACCCAGAAATTAAATATGCTAGGCAAGCACTCTACCACTGAATCACCCAGCCACTCACAAAAGTTTTTAAATTTGATGAAGTCTAATTTATCTATTTTGTTTTTTGTTCTTGCCATTGGGGTCTTATCTAAGAAACCATCACTTAACCCAAGGTTAAGTGATTTGCTTTGTTTTCTTCTAAGCTTTTTATAATTTTAGCTCTCACATTTAGGTCTTGACAAAGATTCTTTGATTGGCCAAATTTTAGTCAGGCTTCTGAATCTTCTAGTCTCATCTGTTCACTTCCAACTTTGCTAAATCCAACTTTAGCAAAGAACCTTGCTAAATCAGTTTAGCTAGACTCTCTCCTCTCCTTGATATCTGATCATCCTGAATATTTGGTCACTTGAATATCTCCTCACCTTCCATCATACTCCAGGTGATGTCTAGTCATCCTGGCCGGTCTTCATCAAGAATCCTGTTAGGATGGTTTAGCCAGAATTCCCTATTCCTGATGTTTCCTCTTAGTAATTTTCCCTCTGCTTACCCCACACAGTGCTTTGATTATAAATCACCACTTGCTGTATTGGAAGTTGAGTCCCAAATACTTTCTCCACTGCAAGTCCTCATTACAATGGTGTCTATACCTGTAACAGTGGTCCTGATTAAAGTCTTCCTTTCTGTGTTTTAACAGTATCATTGAATAATTTTTTTCTGTAACAGTCTATGACCCATTTGAATTAATTGCTTTATATAATGAAAGGTAGGGGTCCAACTTCATTCTTTTGCAAGTGGATATTCAGTTGTTCAAACACTATTTGTTGAAAATATTATTCTCTCCCCATTGAATGTCTTGGCATACTTGTCAAATATCAGTTGACTATTAAATTAGTTTCTTGGTGTACCTGTACCAATTTACTTGATATTCAGTGGCTTAAACAACAAATTCATTATTTTACAATTCTGTAGATTATAAGTCTAACATGGGTCTCATTGGGCTAAAATTGCAATGGCGGGTCTGCATTCCATTCTGGCAGCTCTAAGGGAGAATCCATTTTCTTGTCTGCTATGGCTTCTAGAGTTTGCCCATTGCAATGGTTTAAATAAATATGTAAAAGGATGTCCTCCAAAGGTTCATGTGCTGGAATCTTGGTTCCCAGTTTGGCAGTATTGAGGTGGTAAAACTTTTAAGAGGTGGGACCTCTTAAAAAGGTAATTAGGTCATGGGGAAAGGGATTCATACTGGTCTTGTGGAGTGAGTTAGTTCCTACCAGAGTAGGTTGTCATAAAAAGACTAAGCTTGACCCCTGAATTTCTGTAGGCTTCCTGTCTTACCATGTATTTTCTTCTGCATGTGTTTTTACCATTATGATTTTATCTTCCATGAGCCCCTTATCAGACACCAAACGGATGGGATCACCCAATCTTGGACTTACAGCCTCCAAAACTGGGAGCTCAATATTCCTCTTTTCTCTATGAGGTATCCAGATTCAGGTATTTTGTTATTGCCACAGAAAGTGAACYAAGACACCCACATTCCTTGATTTGTGGTTCCCCTCTCACATCTTCAAAGCCAGCACTATATCTCTATGTTTGTTTTTTTATAGTCACATCTTCCTCTAACTCAAACTCTTCTGCCTCTCTCTTCAACATTTAAGGATACTTGTAATTACAATGGGCAAAGCCAGATTATGAGGGATAATTTTGTGTGTATGTATGTATGTGTGGTACTGGGAATTGAATCCAGGGGTGCTTTACCACTGAGCTATCACCAGCTCTTTTTACTTTTATTTTGAGAAAGGGTCTTGCTAAGATGCTGAGGCTGGCCTCAAACTTGAGACACTCTTGCCTCAACCTCCTGAGTTGCTGGGATTACAGGCATGGGCCACTGGCATAGCAGAAGGATAAGCTCTTATAAGTCAGTTTATTAGCAACCCTAATTTTTCCTTCCCACATAACCAAATATATTCACAGGTTCTAGGGATAAAAACTTGGAACTTTTTGGGTGGTAGTGGTGGGGCTATTATTCTGCTTAAATCTAGGGGTTTATTTCTGGACTCTCAATTAAATTTCACTGATCCTTTTTGTGGTACTGGACACTGAACCCAAGATCTCAAACATGTAAGGCAAGCACTCTACCACTAAATTACTTGGCCCTTTTTAAATTTTCATTTTGAGACAGGGTCTTGCTGAATTGCCCAATCTGGCCTGGAATGTGAGCCTTCTGCTTCAACCTCCAGAATAGCTAGGATTACAAGCATGTGTCACAGAACCTTGCTCTATCRATCTTTGTGTCTGTCTTTAAGCCAGTATTCACTGTCTTAATTCCTGTAGCTTTGTGGTAGGTTTTGAAATTGGGAAATGTGAGTCTTCTAACTTTGCTCTTCTTTTTCAAGATTGTTTTATCTATTATGGAT